TGTGAACCAGAGCAACCCCATCTTAAATAGGAGCTGGGTAAAATGAGGCTGAAATCTACTGGGCTGCATTCCCAGATGGTTAAGGCATTCTAAGTCACAGGATGAGATCGGAGGTCAGCACAAAACACAGGTCATAAGGACCCTGCTGATAAAACAGGTTGCAGTAAAGAAGCCGGCCAAAACCCACCAAAACCAAAATGGCAACAAGAGTGACCTCTGGTTGTCCTCACTGCTACACTCCCACCAGCACCCTGACAGTTTACAAATGCCATGGCAATGTCAGGAAGTTACCCTATATGGTCTAAACAGGACGCATGAATAAGCCATCCCTTGTTTAGCACATCATCAAGAGATAACCATAAAAATGGGTAACCCGCAGCTCTTTGGGGCTGCTCTGTCTGTGGCGTAGCTGTTCTTTTATTCTTTTACTTTCTTAATAAACTGGCTTTCACTTTGAAGAAAAAGAGATCTATTGTACATCAGGTTGACTATAATAATGACAATGTATTGTATTCTTGAAAATTGCTAGAAGATTTCGTGTTCTCCCCACATACAAAAAATGCTAAGTATGTGAAGTAACACCTATGTTAATTAGCTTAATTGAGCCATTCCACAATGAATACATATCTCAAAACGTCATGTAAGCCAGGCATGGTAGGTTCGTCTGTAATCCTAGCTACTCAGAAGGCTGAGGTGGGAGAACTGCTTGAGCCCAAGAGTTTGAGACCAGCCTGGGCAGCATAGTGATACTCCATCTCATAAAGAAAATCATGCTGTACTTGATAAATATATACAATTGTTCTGTGTGCATTAAAATATATAAATAATTTAAAAAAATATTTATATTTTTTAAAAATAAAAATTTTTTTAAACAAGAAGTTTAAAACAAAGAACAAAACAAGAATTTCTGATGATACCAATACTGGAGATTTAAGTTTAAATAATTTCTTCGGTACAGTGGTAATGGCAGAATGATGTTAGGAGAATGATACCAAGGAAAATTATTTACAATTTATAAGCACCAGGTGGCATCAAACACCACTGCAGAAGTAGTAACACATCTAATAGTATGGACTATTCTAAGCACTTCATATATCTTCTCTCACCTACTGTAAGTCAACCCATAAGGAATCATTTAAGTGTTTCTTAATTCTTTTGTGTATTGATTTTCTGCCCCTGAATAGAGTATCTGTGCTTCAAAGACAGGGATTGTGTTGTCTTCTGGTTCTGGCTTTGCCCCAACAAATATCTGGCAGAACAGGTACAAAAGCATTTGAGCTTGTCGAAGAGAAGGGATAAAAGAAGATTGATTGGCTGACTCAATGTGGCTTCTAGAATGATGCAGTAGATCCCTTCAGAAGTGCCGGATGGTGGAGAAAACACCCATACAATCCAGAGCCTCAGTCTCAGCTCTCCCACAATTCTATCTTGAGAGCTTTCTTAAATGTAAGCATATTTATACACTCACACCTCTTATGTTGAGGATTATGATATAAGGAATTGAGTGTTGGTGCTTGCAAGTATAACCCCAACTCATGAAACTGTCTCTTAGCCCTTAGCTTCCATTCCTTAGAGGCAGTGGGGAAAGCCATCAGGAATGCAAGCTCTGGAGCCACAGCCTGGGTTTATATCCCAGATCACACATTCACAAACTGTGTCTTTGAGCAAGTTGTGTGACCACTCTGAGCCCCAGAATCTCATTTGTCAACTGGGGATAATGATTGATACTACCTTTTAGAATTATTGGAGATTATTAAATGAGATAAAGCATGTGAAATACTCTGTGAAGTGCCTGGCATGCAGGACAAAATTGCTACACTTCAGCTTAGGGCAACATATCATGATCAATAACATCTCCCCACAGCATACATGCAGCCTGAGTCCTCTGCTCAAATTTTGGCCTATGAGTTAGGAGTAGATACATTATTAACCTTCCCCATCTCTCCATGAGACAGAGGAAAAACCATTCAGGGTCACTTTAATTCCCAAACTGTCTGTTAAGCTCCCAACAGAGAAACTGAATTCACATGAACTTACCTCTTCAGAAGTCTTTTCTGGGTACACAAGAAGTTGTTTTTTTTGCTGCCACAGACTCTTGGATATATGTCATCACATACAGATTTTCCCAGAGTATTAATTATTTTCTAATGGGGAGTCTGTCGTTGTGACTGGCTAGGTACTTTCCAGAGGGCACTATGAGGAAAACAGATTTAACCCTTTACACGTCCTAAAAAGCAGGACCCACATCTTAAACTTCATACCAGTGTGAAATGGCACAGTGGTGCTCTGGGTACCATGCTAGAGTCATAACAGTGCTGTTGATAGTCATCACATAGTAGGCACCGCACAGAGAAAGAAACATGGGACATCTAATCAAAGGACACCAGCACTAACGTGAAAGTGGAAGGTTCACATGCCTCCAATGCTGTTTCTTCTTCAGTATCCCAACTTCTGACCTGACTGTTAACTCAGTTCACATTTGGAATTCCCCCTTGAGTTACTGTGTACTTTCACAGCTCTCTTTTCCTATGCCTCTTCAGTGTTTGCTTGGGATTTCTCAGTCAATCTGATTTAGGAATTGCCTGTAACTTCTCAGGTCTAAGGCTCCTCTTCCTTATTTTGCAGTATAATTATGATTCAAAGGTAAATCTCTATTCTGGCATGTTCTGAGACTTATCCCTGGAGCCAAAGGCCAGAACCTCTTCTCTGGCCACCATCTGGATTCACATCCAGGTGGCATGGGAACAGGACATTTCTGAAAATCATTGCTAGAATGGTTATGTTGCACTTTTGTATTTTTAGTACCACTGATGATCATAAGGAGCATGACACGATTGATACACTGTAAGGTAAGACCTCTAGAGAATACTGTGACATCTGATCTGACTCTCTCTCTCTCTCTATATGTGTGTGTGTATGTATGTGTGTATATGTTTGTATATATATACACATATATGGATATGTATATATACACACATATATATGTATATATATACAAATATACACATATATATGCCACTACGTGTGTGTGTATCTGTGTATATTTATATACACACATACATACAATACACACACATACACACACACACGTAATGGCATATATATATGTATATATATATACACATATATATGTGTGTATGTATATATATATACACACACACACACACACACACACACACACACACACACGTAATGGCAGGGAGAGAGGTTCAAAGAAACAGACTGTGAATGAGTGACCAAAGAGGCAGGAAGAAAATAAGCAGAGTGGCCTTTCTGTAGAAGTGGAAAAGGTTACCTGGACTTTACAAGTCCCTTAATTACTGGGTTCATGTTCTTGAACCTGCTGAGATAAGCCTAAATTGTATATATGCCTCCCATCTACAAAGTAAAAATAACAGACTTAGGAATGTTGCATTCTTCCAACAAGTATTTATTGCAGTCCCACTCTGCTATATCAATTCATTGCATACAGGAAAGCTCCAAAAAAATACTACAGCAGCCCCAACCTGCACTGTCCAGGATGTACTATGAAAGGGAAAATGCATTTTTTATACTGCTATGGTAAGTTTCTGAACAAAGTGTGGGGATAAAAGGCACATAAACCCTCTGGATTAATAGAAAATTGAGCTGAGAGATTTGCTGTATTCAGTCATGTATAGTATATTATTTCCAGTACGCAAACTGATTTTTGTTAGTTGTATAACAATAGCTACACTGTACTGAATGAGTAGCATGGGTCATCATCACTCATACATAAATGTGTCAGAGCATCTGTCAGCACCAGGCTCCAGGATCTGTGCTTTGGTGGACTTTTCTCACACATCCATGTTTTCTGCAGGATAACAGACCTGAAAGAGCTCACAGTTGGTGGGGACAGGGAGCCATACTGATGATAATGACAAAATAAGGGATGAAAACCATGGTAGGCATGAGACAGGGGAGGCTCAGAACACAGAAGCGTTCCTGACCCCTTAGCCCAAGTGGTCAGGAACAGCTTCTCTCAGGACATGCTATGATATATAATATTATCATCCCCCACGTGCAGATGAGGTAACTGAGGATCAGAGAGGCTAAGGAACTCAAGTGGTGGAACACATTTTCAACCTAAGTCTCTTGAAATGCAAAGTCCTTTGCATTGTGAATGTTACTAATCTTCCCATCATGATATGGTCATCTGTTTATTTTTATTTATTTATTTTTATTTTTTAAGACGGAGTTTCGCTCTTGTTACCCAGGCTGGACTGCAATGGCGCGATCTTGGCTCACCGCAACCTATGCCTCCTGGGTTTAGGCAATTCTCCTGCCTCAGCCTCCTGAGTAGCTGGGATTACAGGCACGCGTCACCATGCCCAGCTAATTTTTTGTATTTTTAGTAGAGACGGGGGTTTCACCATGTTGACCAGGATGGTCTCGATCCCTTGACCTTGTGATCCACCCGCCCACCCATACTTCCTCCTTATCTTGATTCATTCCTTTACATTCTTCGAATTTGCTAAGTATAATAAAGACAACTTTTAGTTACATGAGGCCTTTCTTCTTTTATAGGCTGGATTGTTACTAAAACGTTAAACTTTAACTCATTCTCCATCCACAGAGTGGGTTAATGAAAAATGAATGAATCACTGCTGCCAAAGTATTAACCAGCCTGCTACGCTGAGTATCAAACACAAATTAAAAATGCTATCCATATGCAGTGATCAATTGGAAACCCACTGCTCCCCTCCAAAGCTATTGACAACATCCGACAATAGTGGATTTTATCAAAGACCAGAAGTTCCCATGCAGGAGATAACACCTCTTGGATTTTCCACATTTATGCACACTAGTTATTGAGCATTGTTAATAAATACTGCTCATTGCCATATGGAAATTCTTTCTTATTTTTCTTGGAGCAATAGAGCCAAGGAAAGCCATGAATACTTGATGGTTTGACATATTAGTCATATGACCAAATTTCCAATAACAGTATAACTCTGATGCCCAATATCTGCTCCCCACAGGCAAACTGGTTATCTCAGGAATCATCCACTCACTAGATATTCCTGACAAACTTGTTTAAAGAAGTATAAGCTAATGCTGGAGACCAAAAACATTAAAAATATGTCTAATGATACCTCATATATTCCAGAATGAGATTCTCTGCTTACTTCAATATGAGAAATGTGTTTCCATATTAACCTTCCATTGCTGCCATAACAATTTTTCACAAACCCCATGGCTTTAAATGACAGAAATTTACTATCTCACTTCTGGCTCTGTATGTTAGAAGTCTGGGTGAGGTTGATTGGGTCCTCTGCTAAGGGTCTTAAAAGGCCAAAGTCAGGATGTCCCCAGAGCTGCATTCTTTAATGGAGGCTCTGAGGAAGAACCTGTTTTTTTTAGATTGTTTGCAGAATTCAGTTTCTTGCAGCCTTAAGAGTGAGGTCCCCAGATCCCCATTCCCTTGCTGCCTCTCAGCTGAGGGTGGGTTTTTGCTTCTAGAGGCTGCCTGAATTCCTTTTCATGTTCTCTCTATGACCTTCTCCAGCAACAACAGCTTGATCCTCTCTCCCTCTCATGCAGAATCTCTCTCTGACTTCCGCTTCTGCTTTTTTTTTTTTTTTTTTTTGAGACAGAATTTTGCTCTTGTTGCCCAGGCTGGAGTGAAATGGCGTGATCTTGGCTCACCGCAACCTCCGCCTCCCAGGTTCAAGCAATTCTCCTGCCTCAGCCTCCCGAGTAGCTGGGACTTCAGGTGCGCGCCACCGCGCCCAGCTAATTTTTGTATTTTTAGTAGAGACGGGGTTTCACCATGTTGACCAGGACGGTCTCGATTTCCTGACCTTGTGATCCGCCCACCTCAGCCTCCCAAAGTGCTGGTATTACAGGCGTGAGCCACCGCACCCGGCCCCTCCTCTGCTTTTAAGAGCTCATATGATTACAATGGACCCACTCACAAAATCTAGGATAATCTCCCTATCCTAAAGTCAACTGAATTATGGCAGAAAGTCCCTTCCCAGCAGTATACCTAGACATGCGCTTAATGGAATAGCCAGGGTATGGCAATCTGGGCAGAATATCTGTAGAATTCTACCCACCCCACACATAAACACTTAAATTATTATTATCTTTTCTGTAAGGTGGTGGCAAGCTGTCCAGCAAGAAGCCAAGGAAAGAACGATCTCTGACACTGATTCAAGCCCAGTTAGCTCTTCAGTGCCATATAAATTCTAAAGATTCGGTTTCTCCAACCAGAAAAAGACAAAATATTCCATACACAGAGTCGTAAAAGCTGTGATACTGGAGATAGGGCATCTGAGGAATACAATTGTTTAGTTAGGAAGTCCCACTTATGGTTAGCAATAAAGGTTACATTTGTGCATGGTGTTATAGAAACAGTAACTCATACCTGACCTGTGTTTAGGAGATGCTGTTTCTCTGTCTGGATCACCTCTGTGCCGTCTCAGTACCAAGTGGTGCCTCAAATCTTCTGGCCACAAGATGAAGAGCTGCCCTTAGAAAAGATAGGCATTAGATCACCCAGAGAAGAAGTCCTTCTGAGATCCTAGAGAAGCTGCGTCCTCCAGCAGCTGTCCCTCAGGGAGAAGTGATTGAATGTGGCAAGCAATTCTTGAGAAAAGCAGGACTCTCTAGAAGAATGGAGCTTTCCTTACAGAGAGGGGACAAATCAGATACACAGTGTCCTAAATTCTCACCTTATAGGTCTAGAGAGACTGAAGGAGGAAGTTCCAGCATGTAAATGGTGATGAGCTTCTTGGTATGACAAGCTGGTTAGACTTCTTTCTTCATTTTCATGTGAAATAAAGCACTACTCCCGCTTGAGACCCCAGAAACCAACACACTCCCCACCCCCCACCCCTCACAGGACAGTGTGGCAGCACTAGAGGGACCCTCCCCCAGGTTCTGGTTATTTGCTTTGACACATGACTCTTGATGACAAAAAAAAAGTTTCCAAGGCCCCAGAGGTGATGTAACAGTGGAGTGATAGAGAGATAGGTCATAAACTCCAACCTTCTGGTGGTGGGTGTTGGTGTGGTGGGGGAAGGTCCAGGCAGGAGGAAATCATGAATTGAGAGATTTAAAGGAGGTGGGCATTTTTGTGTGACTGGCTGGAGATTTTATTTCTTTTAGAGTATACATCAAAGAATAAATTTATGCTCAATTGTTTACATCTGTTTCTAACAGGAACATACATCTGTGTTAAAATACTCAATGCATCTTGTATGCATACTCAAGCAGATACATAAAAAGGGAATTCCCCTTTGCCAAGGGAATTGAACAGCCATTTGAATTTTGCAAAATGGAACATTATTTTATGCTAAATGATTACGGCAGACAAAAGCAATTCTTATGCTTTTGTCTGCTGTAATCATTTAGCATAAAATAATGTTCATCATCAAAAGTGATGATGATGATTATCATCATCCTCATTGTTTAGATTATGAAACGGAGATACAGAAGGCTTATGTATGCTACACAAAGTAACACGTGTCATAAGGGTTAGAGCCTAAAGTCAAACCCATCTGGATCTTACCCATTACACTGTGCTGTCATTTGCTGATGACTCCCAGACCCACATCTTCAGCTTATTCTCTCTCCTTGGTGACAATACCTAGGTACCCACTCACCTCCTAGACACTTCTTTCTGATGGCAAGTGTCATAGACACTTGACACTCTATGTGCACAAACCTGAATTCACTGATGCTCTCCAGCAACTTGCAGAAGCATACCTTCTCTGGTGTCAGCAATTCTGTGAAAGACATCTATCTACCTGTATGCACTATCTCAGACTGCTCTACTGCTCTCACCATCCCAACATATCCAATCAATCACAGGAACCTGCCAATTAAACACGACTCCACTCTCCCCTCTTTTTTCACCTGCCGAACTTTTACTGGCCTTGGGTGACTTTCCCTGGCTATGAGCTCTCAGAACCCACTGAATGAATGACCCTGTGATAGAGACCTCTTCTCAGGTTGTTGTCATTGCTACCTTTATTGAACCACACATGTACATGCAAACATATGCATGTGTGTGTGTGTGCGCACACACACACACACACACTCTCTCTCTCTCTCTCTCTCTCTCACACACACACACACACACATTCTCCAACAGTTTGTGAGCTCCATGAGTGAAAAAGCCCTAAATTCCAAGAGACTAGCACAGTACCTGGCACCTGGTTTTGAATAAACTATATCACAGTTGAAGATCAGATGTTAACATGGGGACAGTGGGCAGATGTGAAAACAAACATCAGTTTTCTAACCTTCCAGTGATGGTTATACCTAAACGAGAAAGCAAAGGGGAAGGATATGAAACTTTAACTGAATAAAATCTATGCATTGCACAACTGGACTAAGATATTATTCAGTTTCAGAATTAGCTCAGTGGAAACAGTGTCTGGTTGTTTCTAGGAAAGACTCTTTGCTCTTAGTAGGAAACATATGGTTAAGAGTCAGCGCCGTATTTTCCACTTCACATTACTGTTTTTGACAATGTATCCTGAAACTGTGCAGTGAAAAAGAACAGCAGTGATTGTGATGTCATGGAAACCATGATTTAAAGTCTTAGAAACCCTATTCATGGATGTGTTGTTACATGAGATAGTATTTGCCATAATTATTTAAACTGTTTTCATCAAGATGTCCTATTCCGGCACAAGAAAGTGGCCTATCTGAGATTCTTACTGTGCCAGGGGGACTTGTTTTCTTTTCACTCTGAGTTACCAATCAGCTGCCTGCTGGCTTCTCGGATGCCTTTCAGAACTTTAAAGAGGCCTCACCCATCCCACTGGCACTTACAAAAGGTCCCACAAACCCATAGAAGAAATGGTGCCAGTTTCTCTGGACGTATCTGTGAAATCTGTCCATGAGGTCTTCACTCACAGTTATTGTCGTTTTAATTCCTCTCAGCACAGCACAGTTAAGAGTGGTAGGGTCTGCAGAAAAAAAGGAAATGAAAAAATGACATAAATCTTGCCCCTACACTCAATGCCCTTTTTCTGGATGAAGGATAGACTAGAAACCCAGGTGTCCTGGCATAGTTCTTCATGCTGATATGTGGATTACCCAGGCACAGTGTGAATGACTTTTCCCAGGCCATGGCTGGGCTGTCTGGGTCTCCATGTTTCCCGCCTTAAGGAGAGCAGGAGAAAGGGAATTAGGTCTCAGGGCCTCACCCAGACAAGACTCATGGAGGCTATAACCAGGGCTGGCTTCCCACAAGTCATCCTGCAGAGAAAAGCTGTATCTTCCCTGATCAAGGAAGAGTGGAAGAGGGTGATACGGATCTAGATTTGATGCCATATTTCAGGCAGACAAAAGGAGATTCAAATTGCTTTTGACTAAAAAAATGCTTATATAATGATAACAATACCTAGAATATATTGGGCATTTAATAAATCACAATACTGTTGCTGCTACTGCTATTGTTACTGCTGCTGCCGCTGCTACTACTACTACTACTACTACTACTACTACTAATAATAATAATAACAATAACAGTTCTCATTTACTTACTCCTTCTTATGTACTAGACACAACATCAAAAGATGTGCCTTCACTTATCTTTTAACTGTTCCCATCATTCCAGTTAATCAGGAAATGGAGGCCCACAGAATCACAGTAACTTGCCGGAGTTCACACAAGTCGTAAGTGCTGGAGCTCAGATCTGCTTCATTTCAAAGTCAGTTTTATTAATCCCTGTGCTCTAAGGTCTTACCTCAAGGAATAGTAAAATATGTCAGAAGGTTTCAGTGTTTGGTCCTGAGGTCCTGGACAATGACACCTTCTGAATTAAACAAGGGCATAAAAGATACTCTACATATGGGTAAAATATGATCATCCTCCTTATACCTACTCACAGTGGAAGATAATTAAAGAGAAAGAGTGATGGTGAATGATCCAGTTATCTGTTGCTACATTTTAAAAAATGCTTCACCACTTGGTGGCTTAAAGCAAAAAATGTGTCTGTGTCCTACACAGTTCTATGGGTTGGTGGGTATCAGCTCACTTGGGGTCTTTTGAGCAGTTGTAGTCAGTTATGAGTGGCAACTA